AAATGGTCCTAGGGCGCTTGGTCGACTGCGTCGCAACCCCCTTGCCACGTTCAGTCGAAGGGTCATGGACGAGCTTCGACCGCCTTTCCGAGCGCGGTGGCACGACCTCCTCCTCTTCCTCCTCGTCTTCGGCGTCATCATCATCGCCGTCGTCATCATCATCGTCGTCGTCGTCCCCTGCAACGTCCGAGTCCCATTCCTCCTCGTCCTGGCTCTCGCCCCCACTCGCCTCACCCTCCTCAGTCGGAGTTTGTGCCCCATTGGGCATCGAGTACAGCTCGGTGAGGGCCTAGCAGATATCAAGACAAGGATCAGTTGACCAGTCGGCAGGGTAAACAGAAATGAATGCGACAAGAACGCAGTGGAGGGCAGAGCAAGTGTACCTTGTTTGGATCGCTGTTGTGGTCGAGTGGAGGAATCCTTCTGGCTCCGCGTGGGTTGTCCTTGTTTCCAGTAACGGCTACCATCCATCTTTCCAGAGTGGCATCGTCGACTGCTTCTGGATGGACTCGAGTCTCGTTTTCGGTCCCACAGTACAACCACATGCAGTGGCTCCGGAACTGGAGGGGCTGGATGCGACGCCTGAGGAAGACCTCCAGGAGATCCATGCCCGTCACTCCCTCCCGAACCAACTACACCACACGCTCCATCAACATCTTCACATCAGCTTTCTCCTCCGGGATCAACTTCAGAGAGGAGGGCTTGTTCACTCGGTCCATGGTAAACTGTGGGAGTCCACTCGACTGTCCCGGCGTCGACTGGTCCCGGCAGTAGAACTAGGTCGACTGCCAATCTCTGACTGACTCGGGAAAGGTCATGGGCGGAAAGGTGCTCTTGTTCCTCACCTGGATGCCCAAACCCCCACACATTTGGACGACTCGGGTCTTTTCGTCGCCTGGACTCGCCTTCTTCACGGTCTGAGAGCGACACGTGAATATATGCTTGAACAAACCCCAGTGCGGTCGACAGCCCAAGAAACCCTCACACATGGACACGAACGCAGCAAGATAGGCAATGGAGTTTGGGGTAAAATGGTGGAGCTGCGCTCCGAAGAAATTCAAGAAGCCACGAAAGAAAACACTCGGCGGCAAGGAAAACCCACGATCCACATGGGTGGCCAAAAGCACACACTCACCCTCTTCTGGCTGAGGCTGCCACTCCTTCCCCGGAAGCCTCGCAGCTCCGTGGGGGATCAAGCCCTCGTTGGCCATGTCGAGAATGTCATTCTCAGTGATGGTCGACTGGATCCAGTCTCCTTGGACCCAGCCTTTCGGCAGGCGGGATCTGGACGAGGACCCTCTGCGGCTGGTGGATCTCCCCTTCGCCTTCTCCGACGCCGACGCCTTCTTTGCACGCTCCAGCGCCGCCATCTTCTCCTTGGCCATAGTCGCCGGTGAGATGCGCGAAGGGAAGTGGTGCGGGGGCGAGAGCGAGCACGCTGAGCAGGGAGGAAGGAAGCAGAGAGAGGGGGAGAATGCTAAGGCGCAACACAGAAATCCTCGCCGGGCACATTTATAAGGTCCCTTCCGAGTGGATGACAGGTGGGCCCGATCGATCTAATCATATCTTGAACAGTTATGCAGATGGGATACGTGGCGAAAAAGGCGGCGCGGAGATCGAGGCGTCCATGCCCCGTCCCATCCGAACGCCGCGGTCCGCCCCGCTTCGCGCGCGCCCCAAAATTTCGCATCCCGCGGAATCCGCGAGCAACAAATCAGTCTGTCAGGCGCGGTGTTTCCGGCGATCCGTCGCTCGGAGATTGTCGAAGCCTGAAAGATCACTCGACGCAAAAACAGAATGGATCAAGTCGACTGAAGGCAAGTTGTTTCCTGTCGGCAAAGGGATTCTTTGGTCCAGAACAGCGCACAACCGGAGCGCAAAGGTTAATCGGAAACGACATCAACTCCTTCTTCACTCGAAGCCTCAATCCATTCGGGGGCTAATGATGGGGTTATGTACCTAGGGTAGGGTCATGGACCCGATCAAAGTAACTTACCCTAGGACATCCTTAGAAGAGGTCGCCTTCCAGTCGACCAACGAGGATTCACTCGACTGGCCTGAAGGACTCGACCACGAAGACCCACTCGACCACCAGGAGGTCAAGAGGCACTCTGCACTGCAACGGCCTGTAATCAAGTAGACTTTATGATAGTAAAGGCCTTTATGTGGGGCGTTACCAGTAACGCCCCAGACTTAACTCACCTTAAACCCTCTCCTACGTGGGCTGGCTGGGGTCCTGGCGCACTCTTTATAAGCCACCCCCCTCCACAGGCAGAAGGGTTCGGCACCTTGTAGTTCATACACTCATAATCCACTCGACCGCCTCCGGGCTCCGAGACGTAGGGCTGTTACTTCTTCCGAGAAGGGCCTGAACTCGTACATCCTTTGTGCTTACAACCTCTCCATAGCTAGGACCTTGCCTCTCCATACCTACCCCCCACTCTACTGTCAGGCTTAGAACCACGACAGTTGTTGCCTCAATCCGAGGCCGGCGGAGGCGAGAGATAGGGGAGGGGATCGACCTGCTCCGTGGCTGATGGTGGTCTGACCGGCATCAAGCCGAGGATACAGCTCCACCGCTCCTCCCTCTGCGGATCTCCTGAACGCGCCTCTCTCCTCGCCCAGCTGACGAATTCCAATGGCGATTCCCTCGGGTGCGGCATCCTGCGCTTCTCCTCCCAAGTGCCCTCGAAGTAGATGCGCCAGGCGAGATTCAGCAGCTCCCGATTGACATGGTCCTTGCAAACCTGTACATATCTCCGGGCCACCGAGAACTCCCCAGCCTCTGGATCCAGATCTTCCTCTGCTTCCTTCCACTCCCGGGTGCACTGGGACCATGAGAGCGCGTCGTCCATGATCCTCCTCGCGCGCTCCCGCCAGCGCTTCTCCCTCGTCGTCGCGAGGATCTCCGGCGAGACCGAATCGATCCGTTGCAACAGATCTGGGAGCGCCTGGTAGACGAATGGCAGTGGCACCCGATATCCCCTCCCCTCCCCCAGCGGGATCCCCATGGATCTGACGAGGATTGGCATGGGGGAGGGAGCGGGAGTACAGCGCGCGGCGCTCGCTTGGTCTGCGGTGGGTGCGGCGACGGCGGTGGGCGGTGACGGCGGTGGGGCTAGGCGGGTCGCGAGAGGGGGATGGGCATGGGTCGGGTTACTGGTAGGTCGGTCGGATGCGCATCAGTCTGTCTCTAACACCTTTGCCTCAGGCTGGTGATTAACTTAGACCATCCATCGAGAATAGGTACGTTGCATGCACAGGTCTCACCACCACAATGCAAAACGTCTCGGGAGGGAGCGCGTGTCCTTATCCCCCACAAATATCTCGATCGGGAGGCACGTCATGAGCGACGCGAGTGGAGCTCACTGATCATCACTATACCCTACGTACGGCTCAGGGGCGAAACTGGGCCTGGGGCAACTGGGGCTGTAGCCCCAGGCGTGGCCCAACTAGCACCTATACTCATAGCAGAAAAAAACCAGAATGTGGGGTGCATAGAAAGCCCAGCCCCAGGCTTCACATAGACGTACAAGCCTTCAGCCCATTAGCCCAACTCAATCGATCGATCAGAATGTGGAACCAATCGCCGAGTACGCGGTTGACGCTTCTATCTTTTTTAGGGGAGGGTTTTTTTAGGGGAGGTGCTTCTATCTCTGATATGTCGTCAATCAAGTCAATCGAGAAAGAGAAACATCCGTACGGAGCACACCGCCGATCCGTTTGCTGCAGAAGCAATAGCCATGTCCGAAGCGGTCGCAATGGCTGCTGAGCTGGGTGCCCTCCGGGTGACTTTTGAAACAGACTCACAACTACTTCTAGAAGCTCTGGACCTCACAAAGGCGGACTCCTCACGGCATGCGGCCATCATCGAGGACATCAAATTCCAACTCAAAATGTGGTTCTCTGAACAGTCAATAAGTGTTTGTCGCCATAGCGCGAATTCTGTAGCGCATGAACTAGCTAAAGTAGGTCGCTTATGTTCGCTGAACGATAGTATCAGCTAGGACTCTAATGTACCGCCCTCAGTGGCTGTTTGTGTTTCGGGCGACCTGCCCGTACGCCGTTAAGTTATAAAGCTTTGCTTTGCCCCCAAAAAAAGAAAAAAAATACTTGTACTATTAAAAAAAGAAAAAAAAGAGAAAAAACATCCCTCGCCTGATCCCGGCTACAGAGAAACCCTCGCGTTGATCGAACAGAGAGCCCAATGCCCCAAGCGTTGCGCCGCCGCCTCATCAACCCGCGGTTGGCGATTCCCCGCCGCGTCGGCCGCCGGGTCCGGCGTCCTGACCACCGGCCCGCCTCTTGTTCTTCTCCATATGTTTCTGAATTCCAGTGCACGCACCCAGGACACACAGGTAATCTGTAATCTGTATCATCTAATTTTGTTTTCCCTAATTCCTTTATATCAACCAAACTTAGTGAGTTATATTTACCTAGTCAATTTTATTTCATTGTTGTCAGAAAATTAGAAATACAAGATGAAGAGGAACCGTACAATTGAATCTTTCTTTCAGTCAACAATTGAATAATATGTCATATGAACAATTGATTTAGTCTATGTCCAGTGTCTTGATTTTATGGAACAATGGCCTTGAATTAATCAAGGCCAAACTCAGTTCCTTCCACTATTGCTGGTGAAGGAACAATGGCCTTGAATTAATCAAGTCTTCACTAATTTGGTACCAAACCATGTTTGCAATGATGCACTTTGTTAAACTATTTGATTTATGGAATTTCCTCTTGTGATAATAATTAATTTACATTCTGTTTTGAATGTGATTTTGTGGCATACTTATAATACACATTGATGTGCGTGGTAGTTGACGTTATATTTAGTCAGATAGTTTTAGCCCTAGGCTTTGAGAAATCCTGATTCCGCCTCCGGTACGGCTGCCACTTTATATACTGCATCGGCGCCACTTTGCCCCAGCACCAGCACCACGACGTAAACAAACACAGATCCACAGCTTCCGACGCCATTCTCACCTTTCAGCAGCATGGGCGCGCCGGACACATCATGGGTGTTCGCGGACCTCGCCGTCGCGGACAGCTCCAGGTACAGCACCCGCTCGCGGCTGCTGCTCACGGGGCTCTCCTTCGCCATCGGCATCCTCACCATCCTCCTCTACCTCACCGTCTCCTACGCCTGCCGCCGCCGCCGTTGTCACCGTCAGGGCGGCGCGGACGCGGGTGCGGATGCGGAGGACCAGGAGGCCGGCATGAGCGACGCCGCGATCGTGTACGAGCAGGCCGACGCGCTGGCCGCGCCCATGGACTGCGCGGTGTGCCTCGGCCAGGTGGAGGCCGGCGAGAAGCTGCGTCGGCTCCCCAAGTGCGCGCATCTATTCCACGCCGACTGTGTCCACGCCTGGCTGCGCGCGCACTCCACCTGTCCCATGTGCCGCGCCGGCACCACTGGCACCACCACGGCCACGACAGCGGCGGCGGAGGCGCCACCACCTGGCGTGGTTGCAGGCACGCCGCCTGCCTTAGAACGGATGAATTGAACCACACTGACCGGAGAATAGCGAGAGTGATGGATCGATTAGCGACGCTGACTGGAGAATAGCCATAGTGTGGTCGTGGCTGCGGCCACAGTGCGTGTACAGGAGTACCTGTGACGTCGAGTGTGCTTGTATTACTGGTTCCGTTTCATAGTGCGCATAGATATTTTTTCACAAGAAAAGAAAGGCTTCATTAATTTTGACCAAGTTTAAGAATATCAAAACCAGCGCAGGATCACATGGTGGTTATCAAAGGATATATGTTAATTCAAGCATTGCTATACACGTTATCATAGGCTCACATCCTCAAAAAAGAAACCATAGGGTGCATGACTAATCAAACCCTAGGGAACAATATAATTATTATCAACTACTCCATCCACCGGAGTTGTAAGCCTTTATTTCTCGTCTTAACTTGGTTTTTATAAGATTTGATCATGCATATATATTAGAATTATAAAAATATATGATCTAAAAAAATCAAAATATAACACCCATAAGTACATTATGAAAGCATACAGTTCATGCTATAGCTAGCGATACAAATTTAATAGTGTGGTTACTCGTATTTGTTGTCTATAATCACGAATAATTTCAAAAGTTTGTTCCCAAAATTTTCTTCAAAAAGTTTGATTTAGTTAAGACATCAATAATAATAAACCTTATAAACCATGATCGAGGTAGCAATTAATTTCTTCCAAGCAGTACGGTGGTGGTATGTGAGCAACCTTGAAATCGAGGGGCCACGACGGTAATATACAACACGGCAGCACGTGCCACAGCCAGGAACAGACTGACTTGGCATCGAGGTTGGCGACGAGCTCATCGAAGTCAAGGTATCCATCTCTCGGATCTGCCACACCCAGTGGCGGTGCTAGGCCTCAGGCAGGCGGGGCCGCTGCCTGTGGCGTGAGCCCCATTTCGTTCGCATATAAAAGTACTCGAAGGCCGCTACTATTGGCTGCACACATATGTGTGCCACTTCATTAATTGTTGGCACGTTACTTATTGGCGACATCGAGGATGGACTGACCACCAAAGCCGTCTGTTCAAACCGGGCAACCAAGTGGGAACTCCGCCGTTTCTAATTGCTCACTCTCTCCCATTTTATTAAACCAACTAGCAAAGTGGCCAGCACAGCCGCACATGCAATATTGGTAATTTCATGAGGAAATAAAATATTTGCTACCGTACTACATGGAATAATATGGTACTTTATCTGGATGGTCGGTATTTTCTGATTATTGTGGAATTTTGTAGTGTATTTGTTTGGACCTTGATTGTAGTCTCTCTCCCTAATGGAAGGCAGGTAGGCCACTGAAATGAAAAACAAAACATATAGCTTAATAACCAAGTCATAAAAGGAAAAGAAAGACTACAAGATAAACTTTGGTTTCAAAGTTGAGAGTCGCTAATTAAAGTACAGTAGTAGTTACGATGTACACTTCTCTCCTCTTCTACAATATATGGACCGGCAATCTCACGCAAGGAACGGGGGATCACATGCCGTGCCAGTATAATTCTTCGTCATCTAGCTAGCTAGCCACCAACCATGGCAGTGAATGTGGAGATCACACGGAAGGCAGTGCTGAGGCCTTCACCGGAGTCTGCATGGGGCGGCGCCAAGAAGGTTCCCATCACCGTCTTCGACCGCGCCTCCACCGACGGGTACATCCCGACGGTCTTCGCGTGGAGCTCGCCGGCGCCTACCAACAACACGCTCAAGGACGGCCTGCTCGCCACCGTCGCAAGCTTCCCACACCTGGCAGGGAGGTTCGCCATCGACGACCACGGAAGGAAGTGCCTCCACCTCAATAACGCCGGGGTGCTAGTCATTGAGGCTACCGCCGGGGCGGACCTCGCTACGGCGTTGGCGCACGACGCCTCCGCCCATATCGCCGAGCTATACCCAAAAGCGAAGAAGGTACTTAGTAGTACTAGCTATCGTCGATGGAGGGGAGACATGCACAGAGTGTTCACCATTTCCAAAGGTGCACATGATCCATGTTGACACGAACGCTGTCGCCGAGCATGCAGTTCTTGGTCGTGTGCAGGAACATGCGGACGAGGCTGTCTTCCAGGTGCAGCTGACGCGGTACACGTGCGGTGGGCTTGTAATCGGCATGGCCAGCCATCACCAGGTCGCCGATGGCCAGTCCATGAGCGGCTTCTCCGCCTCCTGGGCCACCGCCGTCCGCACTAACTCCGCTCTCCTCCCGTCGCCGTTCCTTGACCGTGGGGCCACCGACAAACCCCGCAGCCTGCCTTTGCCGGTGTTCGATCACGGAAGCATCGAGTTCAAGGGCAAGCACAGCTCCAGCCGCTCCTACAGAGTGCTCCCCTTGGACAGGATCAAGAACCTGGCGGTGCACTTCCCGGGCGAGTTCGTCGCCGAGCTCAAGGCCCGTGTGGGCTTTTCATGCAGCACGTTCCAGTGCCTCCTTGCGCACGCATGGAAGAAGGTCACGGCGGCGCGCGACCTGGCCCCGGATGATTTCACGCAGGTGAGGGTCGCCGTAAACTGCCGGGGCCGGGAGAAGCCCCCGGTGCCCATGGACTTCTTCGGAAACATGGTCCTCTCGGCATTCCCGAGGATGCGGGTCCGCGATCTCCTATCCTCCAGCTACCCGGCCGTGGTCGGCGTCATCCGCGACGCCGTTGCGCGCGTGGATGACGAGTACATCCAGTCATTCGTGGACTTCGGGGAGGCGCAGCGCGACGTTAAACTAGCATCCACGGCGGCAACGCTGGGCACGGCGTTCTGCCCTGATCTGGAGGTGGATAGCTGGCTCGGGTTTGGCTTTCACAACCTTGACTTCGGTGGTGGGCCGCCGTGCGCCTTCCTACCGCCGGACCTTCCCATCGATGGAGTAATGATCTTGGTGCCGTCGTGCGCAGCCAAGGGTGGCGCCCATCTGTTTGTGGCTCTTGACAACGAGCACGTAGAAGCCTTCAAGAAGATTTGCTATTCCATTGAGTGATGAGCGATGACTGCAAATTATAGCCTCCGTTTTCTCAGCTGACTGAGATCTAACAAAGTTTCAATCATAGCAAAATGTTTAGCAAGCCCTTTAATATCATTCATGGTCCTCTCTAAAGTATTAGACATGTTTACCATTCTTTTTTAGAATGATGGCGCAAGTACGTCTGGCTTTCAATTAATAAAGTCATCAACGGGTTAGAATTACATTACAGCATACAAACCAGCAAACAGAAAAACAAAGCGGCAAAGGATACATGTTATTTTATCCTTTTTTAAGCTAAGTACATGATCGAAAGTTGTTCTTAATTTTCTAAAAGATGTTCTTGCTTTTAGAAAATGTTCGAAATTTCAAAACAAATGGTCGTTTTAAAAACAATTCAAAAAATAGGGATTTTCAAACAATGCTTTTATTTTCCAAAATATGTTGCGAGTGCATTTGTTCAACATTTTCACAATTTGTAAAAAAATGTTCGGGTGTTAAAAATATTGTGCCCATTTTCAAAAATTTGTAAAATGTTCATGTTCTCAATTTTTTGGAGTTTCAAAAAATGTCCCAGTTTCAAATATTGTTCATAAGTTTTTAAAAATGTTCATATTTTCAAATTTTGTTCAGGAATTTCAAAATATGTCCGCATCTCCAAATTTCATTATAAATTTGGAAAAACGTTCCTGTTTTAAAGAAAATCATGATTTTATGCTAAAAAAATCATGATTTTCAAAAGAAGCTCTTGTCTTTCAAAAAAGTAATAGTTTTGGAAATCATTGTTCAGAAATTTGGGAAGTGTTTGTGTTTCTTAGGACATTCTGTTTTCTGACTAAAAATGTTGGAACTTCAAATTTTGTTCATTCTTTTGAAATACGTGCGGGTTTCAAAATTTATTCATTTTTGTTAAAAAAAGAAGAACTTAAAAAATGTGCTCTAAATTTTTTGATAAATTATTCGAAAGTAAAATAAAACATCTTCGCAAATTTCGTTCATGTATTTTGAAAATGTTCACCTTTTTTCCAAAATCTGTTTGAAATTCTAAATTTTGTTCTTGTTTTTCCAAGACAAATTTGGAAATAAAAATTTCTTCATATTTCTTCAAAAATTATTTCCTGTTTTCCGAAATGTCTTCAAATTTTCAAAAATAGATATGCTACTGTACACATACAGAAAATAACATCCAGCAGGGAATATCACACAATGATAAGTTCCTAAATAAGTTCGCGATGCATGTTTGTTCACATGTGGCCATTTACTCTAGTGTCTGGCAACGCTCTAGAGTAGAGTGACGTCGTGTGCTTGATTCCTAGTGGCGTCTCTTTTGATTTTTCAGTTTTTACTGCTATTAACAACTCGCGGTGCCTCTTAGTGGACCGGCCCAGTCGCACGGCTCCTGTGTGTGTCGCGCTCCCTATTCGCCGCAGCATGCGGCGCATAGGAGCTCCCGCTAGGTGCTTCTTATTTTCCTTTTTTGAGCGGTGCATCTTCTTTTCCTGGGTGGGCTGTTGCGTGTTGGATTTATCTGTGTTGGTCAGATAGTATGGGCTGGGCCTAGGTAAACTTGGTGCTCCAGGGCTGGGTGGGCTACGGCCCAGGTCCACCAGATCAGAGAGAAATGTTGAGTATGTTGATATCCATCAAAGCCCACTATCAACACATCTTTTCATCCAGTCATATTGGATTGTCTAAAAAAATCAAGTCATATTGGAATGATCTCCAAGTTTTAAAGAAACCGACTACACCCATGATGCAAAACAGAATGGAGAGATTGACCCACAAGCTACAACCGTCGGAGAACATGGCCAAGGTTAATATGGATGCTGCCAGCTGGGAGTTCGGGTATTGCGGCAGTTGCAGCAGTGTGCAGAGACACGGAGGGCATGTACCAGGGTTTGTCAGCCATTGTCTTTAAGGGCATCAGTGACCCTACCACATTGGAGGCACAAGTAGTAAGAGAATCAATGGCTCTCGCAGAGGATCTCAATTTACAATCTATCCATGTTGCATCAGATTGTTAGGTGGTGAGTGAGGGTATTAAGCCAAAGAGTGGGGTAGGTTATGGTGCTATTATACATGAAATCATAGAGTATTCGAGTAGTTTCATTTTATGTAACTTTGTCCATGAGTTTAGGAGCTCAAATTTTGAGCATATTTTATCATACTACAATAGCATATTTTAGCAACAAAGGGTCGGTCATGTAGTCGATGGTCGAAGCTGGATTAGTGGATAGGTGGAAATTGGTGGATCAGTGGATATGCTACGTATTTTGATAGGTATGGCGGGTTTCAGGTTTGGGTACGACAGAAATGGGTTTGAACCAATGAAACATGTCGGGTTTCATAATGTACCAAATAGTAGGCCTGCGGGGTTAGAAAGACACCCATTCCCATCCCCTAATAGGATAAAAAACCGTGGGTGGCGCGGGTTTCAGGGCCCATTGCCATTTTTAGCTGTGCAAGAAGAGGGACACAGAGGTGCGACCGAGGTGAAAGAGAAGACCGTGCAGAGGAGCAAGAAGGTGAGGGAGTCCTGCTCTCTCGCCCCGTAAGTCTCAGAGAAGAAAGATGTCACCGTGACAGATCGCGAGAGAGACCGAGGAAGAGAGATATTCATAAAAGAGCTATCTCGATTGCACGAAAAAATGGGAAACAAAGAGATTTTCAGGAAATAAAAAAACACCTGAAAACAAAATGGGAGGAGTGGGGGTTGGGTGCCGGGGCAGTCGGTAGTGGGGGAGGGGGTCGAGGGGAGGATGGACGAAATAAGGAAGGAGATCGTCTAGAAAGGATCGCATGCAACTTGAGGTAAGTTGCATCCTTAAATTGCGCGATTGGGCCTCAATGGCTCATAGCCTCGGAATAAAATGGTCAGCGAAAATCGGTACAAAGGAAATCAGGCAGGAGAAAATCGATGGGGGGGATCACACGAGAGGTCGGAGGGACGAACGAAACAGGTATGGACTCCCCTTTAGTACTAGAAATGGGAGAGGGCTTGGGTGGAGATATGTGAGGGAAAAAGAGTGCTATGGCCCGCCCTATTCGTGAGGAATTTGGTATACACATGACAGCCCAGCCCAACACAACATGACAGCCCAGCCCAACACAACACAACATGGCCCGCCCGCACTGTTGTTGAAGGCGAGCAGCAGTGCATTGCGGCCTGGGGAGAGCGATTTTTTGTTTTGCCGTTTCGTGAAAGTTGAGCCAGATTTGACCCTGGTTAGAAAAATTTCAGGATCTGGCCCTTTTCCTACGGCCGGAGTTGATGGCGGTAGGGTATACCAGCCTACCACCAAGGCCCCTGGCGGTAGGCAACTTATCCATGTCAGAACAGTGCAGCCCTACCATCAAATAGATTGGCGGTAGCCTGTGCAACCCTACCGGCGAGGTGTCCGGCGGTAGGTGGGTACAAGCACTGTATTTGATAGTTAGAATTTTTTTTTGCAGTAGAACGTGCAACCCTACCGCTCAGGGCCTCGGCGTAGCAGTTATGCCCTACCGTCATTGACCCCGGCGGTAGAAAAAGGGCCAGATCTCGGGAAAAAAATGATCCAGGGTCAGATCTGGCTCAACTTTCGCAAAAGGGTTTAAACACCAAATTTGTCCGCCTGGGGAGAAGTGGCGAGGAGCTAAGGTCGAGATCCCGAGCTGCAGGTCGCACCATCATACCAGGCACCCACCCCACATGCCTCAGCGCCGCCGTCATGCCCCAGGAGTCAACTAACAGCGGCGAATTGACGAGGCAACGACCCTGTCACATGGACACAACCACACATGTAATTTATTTTCCCTGCCAAATTCTTATTTCTCAATACTACCATTTTTTACTATAGGATGATACAATCTGTAATTTAGGTACTACATTACTGCTTTGTATTATGAGGTGGTTTTAGTTGAAATTTGAACTAAAACCATGTTATGTATTTCCGAACAGAGGGATCCATTCTAAACATGTTTGATGGTAAAATGGTATGGTTTATTTTTAATATATATGTGTATCGGTTGATATAACATATGAGAACAAAAGTATGCATTTCCATATCAAATGCCCACTGAGATAGTATATCTGATTCATAATTTCAATTTTTTGTCCTTCACTTTAGTTTGGCCCGTCCAGTTTTTTTGTTTCTAACTCCGTCACTGAGGGAGAGAGAGTAACTAATTTGGCTGCCTTCATGTCAGAGATGAAGAGGCCAAAACATTGAACGTCATGCATGCATGCATGTGCACAGGGACACTTCCGTTGGTGCATGGACAGAGTAATGTCTCTCGAGAAAAGAAATCGATAGAGTAAAGTCGAATAAAACCTCGTTCAGTACTCCTATGCCATGGTACTCGTAAGTACCGTCCTACCTGCGCACGGAAGTTGCCTCGGTCGCTTTCCTCGGCGCGCTAGGTTTTAGAGCAACTCCAATCGCGCCGACCAAAATGAACAACGATTTATCCGTTTTTTGTTTGTTTGGATTTATCCGACGGACAACCACGTTCGCTTTCGCGTTTGGGTCGGCACATGCGTCCAACGCTGGCCCGACCCATTTTTACGGCACACGAAAAAAATAGAACATAAATATTTTGAAAATGAAAAAAAATATTAATTAAACATTAATGCCGGCCAAAGCCAACGAGAGTCCATTAATTAAAACATTAATTAAACATTAATAAAAACTAAACTATGAGGCGGTGCGCTGCCCTAAGCATCCTCCTCGTCGTCGTCGAGGCCAGTGTGGTCGATCGGCGTCGGCACTGGGCCAGCCCAGGCGATAGCGACGTCGTCCGCCATGGGCTGTGCTGCCACCGGCTGGGGTGCCCTGCCCCGGGCACTACGCGCCTCTTCCTCGGCGTCTCGCTCCAGCTGCTCGAGGTACTCTCCCTCGTGACGCTCCTGGGCTAGCCTACGGTGGCGCCATTGTTCGAGGTAGGCCGCCATATTGCGCCTCCGTCGCCTGCATCCAGAACGGTGGCGCGCTGACCCACTCGCGCACTACCCCGGTCGAGTAGCGCTCGATGGGGGT